GGAGCAGCCGGCTCCGACGGGGCGCGGGGGGCGCTCTGCCCCCGGGACCGCTTCGGGGCCGCCTCTGCGTTCCCGCTAGAGCTGGGAGCGCGCCGCTGCGCCTCCGGGATGTCCCGCGGTAGCCTGGGCGCGCGCGGAAGGGGGCGGGCGGGGCTCTCCGAGACCCCCGAAGGTGGGGAAACGCCAGGACGCGGCAGCATCCTCCCCCCGACACACACACTCCACCTACCCAGTGAACCTGCGCGTTCTCGCCCCCGCCCCTGGGGAGGCGCCCAATGGGCTAGAGAGAAACTTGTGGCGCGCAGCGGTTAGCGCTGAGCCAGGCAGGGCCTTCGCTTCCCCGCTCAGCCCCCAGCGTGCTCGGTTGGCGGGGGGTCTGGCGAGGCGACGGGAACCCCACGCGAGGACCGGCACCTCTGCTGCACATGGGGTGCAGAGCCTGCCACCCTTTGTGCTTGGGCGCACTGAGCCCCGCGCTGGGGCGCCAGGGAGATGTTGGGGGTCTGTCTTCGTGGCCAGGCCCCTCCAGACCCAGGGGTCTGGCAGAGAGGAGCTCCTGCCTTGCCTCTGCTGGCCCCAGTGCCCTGTGTCCTCTGCTCCCCGCCGGGACCCGGGGCACTGCTGGCTAGGGGGCTTGGCCAGGTCGGGCTTCCCTAAGCAGTGTGGAGAGGAAGCGGTGGCCGGCTCCGGAGCCAGGAGCAACCTGCGGCCTCCAAGGCCCCCAGCCCCCAGAAGGGGGCGGTGAGTGGCTGGGTGGTCCGTGGACGGGGCTGTGGGAGGCCTCTGGCCAGGCCCCACTGCCCAGGCGATTTGTGGCGGGATGGCTGGCCTGGTCATTGTCCCCTCGGGGCAGGGGGGCCGGGAACCCCGCTCGCTCGGGGCGGTGAAAGTCTCCCCAGGCCGCTGGACCCTTTGTGTCCTCTGCCTGGTTCTGATCTTCGCGACCTCTGCCCGGCTCTTGTGAGTAACTGGGGGAAGGGGCCTGGGAAGGGGCGCCGAGCTGAGCCAGGCAGCGCCTTGGCGGGCGCGCCCCTCTCCAGGCAGGCCCTCCGGGGACTGGGGACGGCCTCGCGCGCTGGTTCCCGGACAGCCTCGCGCACCGGGTCCCAGGGCAGCCCCGCGCGCCCGCCCCGGGAACGGCCTCGCGCTCCGGTTCCTGGGCCGGCCTCGCGCGCCCGCCCCGGGCCGGCCTTGCCTACCGGTTCCCGGGCAGCCTGGCGCACGGGTTCCGGGGACGGCGTCGCGCTCCGGTTCCCGGCGGCCTCGCGCGCCCGCACCCACGGCCCAGCCAGGGCCGCCTGCTCACCCTCCGGCCGGGAGGAGCCGCTTCTCGGGCACCAGCTCCTGGCAACCGCGCGTGGAGGCCGGCCGGCCCCTGGCCACCCGGCGCGTCTACTGGCCCGGTTGGAGCGCAGAAACCCTGGACCGCGCGCGGCCGGCGCGGTTGTGCCTGGGCCCTTCCGAGCCCGCAGCTGGTCCCCGCGGCCGCGCACGGTGCGCCAGGCCCGGCTCGAGGGGGCTCGAGCTCGTCAACACGAACTCATAAATCTCTCGCGCCCTAGAGCAGGCGCCCCGGACCCACGGTGGGACGCAGCGGGGGCACTGCCCAGGCAGTCTCTTTGTTTACTTTTCGGCCTGAAACACTCGGTTTCGATGTGGCCCATTTTAACTTATTTTCACTGAAGTTTTTATTTAAGAATCATTATTTCTTGCAGATTCTCCTCTTTTGCCCATGCCTCTTTTTCCTTTTTTCTTTTTCTTTTTTCCCTTTCTTTTTCCTTCTTCTCTTTCTTTTTTTTTTTTTTTGGGCTACTTGAATGGCAGATTTGCAAGTACAATTTCATCTGCTCAGAGGAACAATGGCTTCCAGCTGCACAAAGACCGTCTCCCACCCTGAATTCAGCCCGAAATGCCTCTTGCTCTGATAATAGCTTCTGAAAAGATTTTGTAATGCGGAGAATTAATACATGATTATTTCCGCCTGACTTCTCTCATTTATTAGAATTCTGTGGCGAATTCCAAATTAAAAATAGTTCAGTTAACAGCTTTAAAAAATACTTTTAAAATATTTTAAGAACCCCCCTCCACACACACACACACACTTATTTCTAACTTTTCTCGTTCTCATGACCTGGAACTCTTTTAATTGATCAGCTATGAAACAACCGCGTCGACATTAAAGTGAGTCTCAGTGGGTAGATGGAGCGTGAGATTCCCAGATATCCCGCAGACATGCGTGTAGGAAGCCACGCACAGGCCTGTGCAAGCCAAGCACTCGTCCCTGGAAACAGTTTCTGAATTTCCCGGGGAAGGTCTGTCTGTCCTGAGGTGTGGAGTGACGGGCGGCCCGTGCCGTGGCCCTGACTCTTGAGTGCTTGTCGCTGCAGCCACCAGGCCGGCCCTCTGCTCGGTCGGACCGTTCCCACAAAGTTTGTCTTGGCCCCGAACGGCCTTTTGCTTTCTCTCGTTTTGAGAAAGGAACCCCACGGGCCGCTGGAGAGGACTCTTGGCGGACACTGTTCCCTGAATGGCTCCAAGGCAGCCTGCAGGGCAGCCCTGGCTTCAGCAGCGCCAGATGGGAACTGCAGTGGACCAGGATGGTGTCTGCACGCCTGGATCCTGCAGCCGGCAGGTCGGGGGCAGAGCCCTGCAGGCAGGGGGAGCCGGATACGTGTGGTGCTTCGGTTCACTCTCACACACGTGACCCTCACCCCTGCTCGGTTCTTAAACCGCTTCCCAGGCACAGAGCAGGGCTCGGCGAGGGGCCCAGAGGCTCCGGCTCTCCAGGCCGCACTCCTACCCTCGTGCTCCAGAGTTGGGGAGCTGCCTCAGTGCAGAGGGGTGTTCGGCTCTTGGAGCGGCTTTGCTGTAAATGTCAGAGTCATAAATATTTAAACATCATTTTCGTTCCATTTCAAGTCAGGATTGACAAGATGCCTCTAATTAGTGGCAGCCCTGCAGGCTGGGCCCCGAGACCGCACTTGGGGGTCCCTGTGTTACCACTCCCAGCCCCGGGGTGCAGGGGGAGGTCTTTGGGGAAGACCCCCCTGAGGAAGTCAGTGTGAGTCATTTAAACCCAGTGTCCCCGGAGAACACGCTCGTCACCTCTCCCTAACGTCATGGTTCGTAAAATTTCGTGCCTTGCGGGATTAAGGCCTGATGCAGCCAGCTGTCTCCCTGAGGTAGGCTCCTTCCCCCGCAGGCACTCGGAGAAGGGGTCTTCCAAAGGGGGCTCCAGGTTCTGCTGGGAGGGTGAGCGCCAGGGTCTCCAGGGAGGGCCTGAGGGGGTCAGGGCCTGTTGGGATGGGCTCCAGGGGAAGGTCTGTGAGGACGGCCCGAGGGAGAGGGAGGGTCTGAATGAGGGTCTCTGGGGAGGGTCTGCTGGTAGGTGTCCAGGGAAGGTCTGTGAGGAGAGTCTGAATGAGGCTTTGTGGGAAGGGTCTGAGGGAGGGTCTACAGGGGAAGATCTGTGAGGAGGGTCTCTATGAGGGTCTCCGGGGAGAGTCTGAGGGGAGGATCCGTTGTGAGAGTCTGAGGGAAGGGTCTGCAGGAGAGGGTCTGAAGAAGGATCTGAATGAAGGTCTGCGGGGAGGTTCTACTAAGGGAGGGTCTGTGAGGAAGATTCTGAATGATGGTCTGTGGGGAGGGTCTGAGGGAGGGTCTCTGGGAAGGGTCTGAGGGAGCATCTGAGAGAGCATCTATAGGGAGAGTCTGAGAGAGGGTCTGTGGGGAAGGTCTGAGGGGAGGGTCTGAATGAGGGTCTGAAGGAGAGTCTGAGAGAGGGTCTGTGGAGAGGGTCTGTGGGGAAGGTCTGAGGGGAGGGTCTGAGGGAGGGTCTGAGGGGAGGGTCTGAGGGGAGGGCCTGAGGGAGGGTCTGAGGGGGCCTCTGAGAAGAGGGTCAGTGGGGCTGCAGGCCAGGGTCTCACATACCAGGCTCTCCCACCTCCCCTGGCTTTAGGAAGGTCCTGGGGGTGATGGCGGGAGGGGGCAGCAAGGTGAGAAGCTGGCAGGGCCCCTCCTCTCCTCTCCCGGGAACGCTTGGGCTGGCTGTGGGGCAGGTGGACGGCCAAGGACTTGGTCGGGACCGCCCAGCCCCTGCTGGTGAGGTCGGGCTGCTGCCTCTCCCCCTGCCAGGGTCGCCGTCCCCTGCCCTCTCCTGGCGCACCGCGGGGCTCCGCTTCCCGGGCGTGGGTGGGCTCTCAGCCCCGCGGGAGTGGGCAGCACTGGCCCCGCGGTGATGCTGCTGCCTTTGTTGTCCCCCTGTGCCCGCTGTGCCCCGGCCTGGAGGGGTGCGGGGGCCTGGCAGGGCGCAGGGTGAGGAGTGCTGGTCCGTTGACCCCTGTGGGGCCCCCTCCGCCCCCGCCCAGCTCCTGTGCCTCTCTGACCGTTTTCCTTCCGGGATCCCGGCTCCTCACCAGGGACTCCCCACCCCGCCCCTCCGCCCGCCCGTGGCCCTCCCGGTGGCAAATCCAGGCAAGAAAATCCGTCACCTTTTCTGTCTCCAGGCGGTTCCATTAACTGGGCCACACAGCTAATCCCACACCAAAGGCAGAGGAGGCTAATTAATGAGCCGCCTGGTCTCGGCGGGAGCTGAGAATTGCTTTGGTGGCCTCGGTGGTCACAAGTACCCCTGGCGGGCGGGGGGCGCAGGGCGGAGCCTGTCCCTGCCCTGTCCTGGGGCCCTGGAGGCTGGAGGTCCCCCCACCTCCGTGTCCGGGTGCTGCCACGGTGCCCTTTGAAGATGCTCCGGAGGGCGGCAGCCGGGGAGGGAGCAGGCGCCTGGCGGCTTCCCGGGAGGGCCCTGGAGCTGTGTGAGGTGTGGGGTCCCCGCCCCCGCCCACAGACACGCGGGGGCGCCCCCTCCGCCCCGCCTTTGTCCTGCCCCTGCCCGGCTGGATCTGCGGGTTTAAAGGGGCAAAGGCGAGAGCCGGGGGTCCCTCCCCTGGAGCCGGCCCGGCCCCGGTGACCCTCCCGCGCTCACCCGCGTCCTCTCTCCGCAGGGGACCCAGCCGCAGCCGCGGCCTCAGCGCGGGCGCCCCGAGGACTCCACCAAGTTCGCGGTGCTCACCCTGGTCTCTGTGGCGGCCATCGTGGGCGTGCTGCTGGCCTCGGGGGCCGCCTACTGCCTGCGCCACGGCTCCCGCCACCGGCTCCGGGAGAAGCTGGGCCGGCCCCCCGGCCCCGACTGCACGGCCGCCTACCAGGTACCACCCGGCCTGATGGGCAGCGCGCGTCTCCCTGCTCAGGATTGATCTCCCTCGAAGGCGGCAGGGAAAGTGCCCGCCATGAATTATGTATGATCCGTTATCTTTGCTCCGGCCACCGTTCCGGAGAGACTCGGGCCGCGGCCTGGCACCCCTTCCCGAGGGGCGGGGACCACGCCTGCGGCCAGCGGCCAGCGCTCTCGCCTGCACGCGGGAAGCCCCCCTCCCGGGAGGAAGCGCCTGGCCCCAGTCCAGCGGGCGGGAGGCAGGTGCCTGGGGACGTTGCTGCCCGGGGCGGGTGGACACTGGGAGAGTTTCCCCCCTGACCTCTGGTCGGCACGGAAGGGGCCACGTGCAAGTCGGGGGCAGGTGGACGCTGCCGTCCACCAGGGCACAGGCGCTTTCTAAAAAGCTCCCCCAGACTTCTGCCGGACCCCCACACCCACCCCCCCTCCGGCGGCGGGCGAATGAATGTGTGCGTCCCCAGCCTGGGGGACCCCGGGACACGGCTGGGGCTGACCCCACAGAGGCCGTGGCCTGGGCAGCGCCGGCTCCCTCTGAGAAGGCAAAGGCAACTGGCCTTGCCCCCCGCGGGCTCGGAGCTGAGCTTCAAAGCCCGGAAAGAGCCTTTGAAGAAGCCTGGGGAAATGTCACCTGCAGCAGAGTCCTGGGCAGACCCGGGTGAGCCCGAGGCAGGCGGGCGCCCGGGTCCACTCTGAGAATCGGATAGAAAATGCTGATGGCGTGGAGAGGTGGGATTCTCGGGCGGAAATGGAGAATTCCGACCAAAATGCAGGTTGGAAAAGCATATGTAGAGTTTGCGATAATTAACAGGGAAAAAAGTTCCCGTGACAGCTCTAATTAATAGTATCTGTAATTAAAATCACGCCCTTCCAGCAGGAAAACTGTCTGAATTTCTTGAAGTGACCTTTTTCCGTTCCTCCTGGGGCACGGCAGTTAAGTTGATATTGATTTTATAATGAGCTCTGGTTTGTTTAATAAGAATCTGTAATCCAGACAATAAATGCAGTGTGTGCCTTCCTCAATCCAGATTAATACGGAAGGCAGGAGAGGGGCACTTTGCCGTGAGCATCTGACCAGCAGGGCCAAGCGTCTGTGCAGAGGGGGCTCCTGGGGCCCCGGCCGGCCGGGCCTCAGCTGCGGCACGTGGACCCGATTCCTTCTGGGCCTCCTTCCAGGGAGCTGGAAGCCCCCGCGGTGGGCGGGGCCGGGCTGCATCTCCTCACGGATTGTTCCCCCAGATCCGCGTTGCCCTGGAAATGGGGGAGGAGCTTCGGGGAAGGGGGACCGGGAAGGGCTGGGACTCCCGGGGGCTGGTCCGCGGCCGCCCGGGTCCTGCATCAGGTGGTCCCCAGCAGGGCCGCCGTGCTCCCCGGGATGGGCTGGTGCTCCCTCGGCCCCTCAGCCAAGGGGAGGAAGGTCCCCACAGACACCCCCAGCGGGCTTAACCTCCTGAGCCCCCACCGCGCCCTGACGGTCACCCGGCGGGCGCCCACCCACGGCTGCTCTGCCCCCTCCCGTGACGTGGGCGGCACGTGGGACTCTGGCTCCTTTTCTGAAAACGCCGTCCCGGTCCAGGTGGCTCTGAGCCAGACCAACCCGGGGTCTGGGAAGACACCAACACCCCCTCCCCCCGCATCTCTGCCCCGACGTGCCCACCCGCGCTGGTCTCCTGTCCCCCGGGTGCAGGACCCCAGAGACTCAGGGTCTCTGCTCTGGGGCTGACGCCCGGACGGGACCCTCAGGTGCCTGGGAGGGTCCGACCTGGGATGGCAGCAGGTGGCCTGGGGGAGGCCCCCCCACCGCCCGCCTGAGAGCCCTGCAGACGCCTGTCCCGGCCTCCCTTGGGCGCCACGGGGGCCACAGAGCTCATGTGAGGGTGGCAGGCTGCATCCCCAGCCCCACGGGGAGACCCCACTGCCCACCCCCCCCACCTCTCGCTTTTCCTTCCCATGGCCTCAGCCTGGCTGGCGTCATCCCCAGGGTCCAGGGAACCTTGTCCTCCCATCTGAGTGCCTGGTGGCGTTCCCTGCCTGCAGCCTCCCGGGCTGCCAGCCTGGCTCTGCCCGGCACGTTCTCAGGACAGCTCTGGGGGCCCCAGACCCTCCGCGGGCCCCAGGCCGGCCGTGGGGGTCCCTCGGGAGAGTCTCGGAGCCCCGGGGCCCGGAGTGAGCCCCTCCCCTCCCAGCGTCCTCCCAGGACCCCACGGCCAGGAGCAGGCCCACAGCCCACCAGGAACACCCCGTGGCCCCCGCTGACCCACCCAGAGGCCCCCCTGGAGCCTCCCAGCGGGTGGCCGTGCCCTGCCCTGGGGTGTTTGCGTGTCCGTGGTGCGTCTCCGAGTGACCAGCAGCCGCAGCCCCCGGGAGCCACCCGAGCTCTCAGCGAGTGACCCCGCAGGTCGGGGCTGGGCTGTGCCCGCAGCTGCCTGGAGCGTGGACACTGGACAGAGGCTCCAGGTGGGCACTGCTGTGGCCCGATGGCAGAGCTGCCCGGGCCCCGCCCCGTGTCGCGTCCACGGCCCCTTTTGTCCACCTGGGGTGGGAGACTCGGGCCCTCCTCGCTGCCAGAGCGTCGGGGGACGGACTCCGGGGCAGAAGCCGGGCGGGCCCCTCCGTACCCGGCCCCCAGCGCCACACGCCCGCCCCATCGTCACTTGTCCTTGGATGAGGGGGACACGCAGACAGTGCTCCTTGGAGGAAGGGATTCACCCTAGAACGAGCGTGGAACTTTCTGGAGGGTATTCCCGGGAGGAGGCGTCCGTCCTCAGCAGGCGGGCGGGGGACCCAAGCTCTCTGGCCCGTGTGCCCCGTCTCTCCGGGGTCACCAGAAGGGCGGCCGTGAGCAGGCCCGGGCCGGGTGCCTGAGCCGCCCACACGGCGTTCGCTCCTGCTGTGTCTGACAGGGCCCAGGCCGCGACCCCCGCCTGCACGGAACCGCGCAGTTCCCTGCAGGGCGCGCCAGACCGACCCCCTGCCGGAACGGACCAGGCAGGAACCAGCCACGTGGACTGACTGTGGGGACACGCGGCTGTGTGGGAGGACGGCGAGGGGCCGGACTGTGTCCTGGGACACCGTGCCCGAGGACCTCGGGGTCTGGCCACCTTGGCTGGCCGGGACAGCGGGGGCAGCCGAGGACGCTGGCGGCGTCCTGAAGGCCTGGCGGAGTTTCCTGCCTGCAGCCTCCCGTGCAGATATTCTTCCTCTCCCCACAGCTCCTTCCTCTCCTCACAGCTTCTTCCTCTCCGCTTCCCACAGCTTCTTCCTCTTCTCACAGCTGCTTCCTCTCCTCTCCTCACAGCTCCTTCCTCTTCTCTCCTCACAGCTCCTGCCTCTCCTCTCCTCACAGCTCCTTCCTCTCCTCACAGCTTCTTCCTCTCCTCACAGCTCCTTCCTCTCCTCTCCCCACAGCTCCTTCCTCTCCTCACAGCTTCTTCCTCTCCTCACAGCTCCTTCCTCTTCTCTCCTCACAGCTCCTGCCTCTCCTCTCCTCACAGCTCCTTCCTCTCCTCACAGCTCCTTCCTCTCCTCACAGCTCCTTCCTCTCCCCACAGCTCCTTCCTCTCCTCACAGCTCCTTCCTCTCCCCACAGCTCCTTCCTCTCCTCACAGCTCCTTCCTCTCCTCTCCTCACAGCTCCTTCCTCTTCTCTCCTCACAGCTCCTGCCTCTCCTCTCCTCACAGCTCCTTCCTCTCCTCACAGCTCCTGCCTCTCCTCTCCTCACTGCTCCTTCCTCTCCCCACAGCTCCTTCCTCTCCTCACAGCTCCTTCCTCTCCTCTCCCCACAACTCCCTTCTCTCCTCACAGCTCTCTCCTCACAGCTCCTGCCTCTCCTCTCCTCACAACTCCTTCCTCTCCTCACAACTCCTTCCTCTCCTCAAGCTCCTTCCTCTCCTCTCCTCACAGCTCCTTCCTCTCCCCTCCTCAAGCTCCTTCCTCTCCCCTCCTCAAGCTCCTTCCTCTCCTCTCCTCACAGCTCCTGCCTCTCCTCTCCTCAAGTCCTCAAGCTCCTTCCTCTCCTCTCCTCACAGCTCCTTCCCCCCAGAGCGGCAGCTGGGGATGAGCCTGACTGGGTGCTGAGGCCCGTCCTGGCTGCAGGGCCCCTGCCCTTTCCCCTGGGAGCCCCTCTCCCTCCTCGCCTGCTTCTTTCCTTGTGGGAGTTTTGCGGAAAGGAAGAAGCGGCACATGGCCGGTCCTCCGGCACCTGGTGGCGGCCAGCCTGGGGTCTCGGTCGTGGGCCCCTCTCCCGCCGGCCTTGTGTGAGGGCAGGGGCCGGTGGGGTGTGAGCGTGAACTTGGGGTGATGGGGAGTCCGTAGACATGCGTGAGCTGTCAGTGTGGGTGACGTGACTGTTTTGCTGTGCGTGGGTACGTGTGGACATGTGTGTGCTATGTGTGAGATGTGTAAGCTTTGGTTGGCGTGTGTGTATGTAAGTGTGTGTATGTAACTGTGTGTGAGCTGCATGTTTGGTGAGTGACAGGGTGTTGTGTGCATGTGTCTGAGTGCCGTGGCCATGTGTGTGCAGTTGTGTGCGTGTCTGAGTGTACAGGTATTGATGCGTGCCTGGGTAGGTGTGAGCGTGTTCACCGGTAGGTGTGGGTGTGTAGGTGTGATTATGCATATGTGTGAGTACACTGTGTGCATGTGAGTGTGCAGGTGTGGAGGTGAGAGTACATGTGGGTGCCTGTGTAAGTATGAGTGTGCATATAGGTGTGAGCATGCACCCAAGTGTGCACGTGTGTGTGCACATAGGGCATGTGCATATGTATGCGTTGTGCAGTGTGTGTGCACATATGTATGTGTGTGAGTGCGTTGAGCATGGTGCATCTGTGTATGCATGTGTGTTTGGCATGGTGCGTGTGTGTGCATATGAGTGTCGGGCAAAGTGTGTGTGTGCATGTGCCTGCGTTTTGGGTACTGCGTGTGTGTGCGTGTGTGTACATGTGCCTATATGTGCATGTGTGTGCTTGTGTTACGTACTTCATGTGTGTGCGTGCATGTATGTGTGCCTGTGTGTGTGCGTTTGTGTGCATGTGTGTGTACGTGTGCCTGTGTGTGTCTGTGTGTGCATGTGCTTGTCTGTTGGACACTGCATGTGTGTACGAGTGCCTGTGTGTGCATGTGTGTGTGCCTGTCAGGCATGGGGCCTGTGTGTGCATATGTATGTGCATGTGTGTGATGTGTGTGTGTATGTTCCTTTGTTGGGCACTGCATATGTGTGCATGTGTACGTGTGCATGTATGTGCATGTGTGTGCCTGTGTGTTGGGCACAGGGCCTGTGTGTGCATGTGTGTGTGCATGTGTGCGTGTGTGTCGGGCACAGGGCCTGTGTGCACTGTGTATGCATGTGCTATGTGTTGGGCACTGCCTGTGTGTATACGTGTGCATGTGTGTGTGTGCATTGGTGCGTGTGTGCGTGTGTGTGCATGTGCCTGTGTGTTGGGCACTGCGTGTGTGTATGTGTGCCTATGTGTGTATGTGCATGTGTGTGTGTGTGTGCATGTGCCTATGTGTTGGGCACTGCGTGTGTATACGTGTGCCTGTGTGTGCATGTGTGTGTGCCTGTGTGCACGCGTGTGCATGTGTGTGCGCGCGTGTGTGTCAGGCACAGGGCTGCTGTCTGCCGTGTGCCCTGGCTGGGCCTGGGCCATGCTGACGGCGTGTGTCTTGCAGGAGCTGTGCCGGCAGCGCATGTCCGGGCGCCCGTCGGAGCGGCCCGAGGCCCCGCACACGTCACGTGTCAACAGCGTCTCGTCACAGTTCAGCGATGGGCCCGTGCCCAGCCCGTCCGCGCGGAGCAGCACCTCGTCTTGGTCCGAGGAGCCCGTGCAGCCCAACATGGACATCTCCACTGGCCACATGGTGCTGGTAAGCGCCTGCCCCCGGGGACGGGCTTGCCCCCGCCCCGCCCCCATGCTCCCGCTCACCCGCCGCTGTCCGGCCACCCACGCCCACGGTGGGCGGGGACACTCGGGCACTTGCCGTGGGCGGGACATGCCCACGTGTGGGGCTTCGGCTGCTGCTGCTCCGCTGCCGCCCTCGGTGCAGGGCCCTGGGGACCCCTCGCCTCCTGCCCTCAGGGCTGGGCTCCCTGAGACGCGGGCTCGTGTCCGGGCAGGGCCCGGTGCTGGTGCAGGCGGGCAGAGGCGCACAGGCCCCGTCCCCCGGACCCCGCGTCTGTGCCCTGTGTGAGGGGCGCGGGCTGCAGTGCCGGCAGGAGCCGCCCGGGACCTTCTTTCACATCACCCCCCACCCCGGGCCCCTTGCACCCCTACCCAGTCTGTTTGGAGCAGGCGTGGCTGCGCGCGCGCGTGTGTGTGTGCGCGCGTGTCCGTGTGTGTGCCCCCAGCCAAAGCCCCACGCCCGCGCGACTCAGCCCTGCGCACACCCGTGGGTGGGGCGAGGGCTGACCTGGGGCCTGGTCTGCCAGTGGCCAGCTTGACCCCCAGACCCCTGGGCACAGCCCCCAGCAGGGAGCGGACCCCCACGTGACCGTGCCTTCCCCTGGGCCTCAGATCCAGCAGGAGGGGCAGGACTGCCGTGTCTGACTCCACCTCAGCCCACTGGGAGCCAGGCCTGGGGGGACTCCCTCGAGCAGGAGCGTTTCTTCCGGAAACCCCTGGACAGGTGAAGCCCCTCCAGGTGGGCGATGTCTCCCGGGCACCCAGTCCTGGGCAGGGGTGCAGGAAGGAGCTGCAGGGGGAGCCAGATGCCAGCGACAAGGCTGACCCCCGGGGTGGCCACTGACCTGCACGTGGGGCCCCCGGCACCCTCGGGCGCATCCCAAAATCTCCCGCTCTGGGGCAGGCGCTCATGGCTGGGGCCGGGGGAACACGCTCAGCTCGAAACCAGGGAAGCACAGGAGACCCCCGGGACCCAGCACAAGCCGAGAGAGGGGCCCACCGCATGGTCCCAGGGCACCGGGCGGGGCACCGTGAAGCAGGAGGAGCCCAGCCCAGGCGGCAGGTGGCCGGGACACGGGACAGGGCAGGGCCCGGGCTGCGGGTGTGGAGCTCAGGGGGGGACACGTGTGAGGAGGAGAAGGAGGAGGAGGAGTTCAGGGAGCACCAGCCCAGCCGTGAGCCAGCACAGCTGCTCGCCGCTGCCTGGCTGGGGTGTGTGTGGGAGTCGGGTCTCAGCCTGTCCATGGGCCCCGGTCAGCAGCTCAGGGCATGGGGACCAGTAGGGGACCGAGAACAGGCAGGACACGGGGACGGGCAGGCGTCCTTGGCCAGCGAGGGGCTGTCCCGTGTGCCCCAGCCTGGCCTGTCTTGCTCCTGGCTGGGCAGAGCACTGAGACCAGGAATGGGGTCAGCCTGGCCTCAAGGGAGTCTGCCGCAGCCCTGCGCCACCCGGATGATGGGCGGGGAGCACTCGGTGCTGGGCAGGGGGAGCACTCGGTGCTGAGAAGAGGATGGGGAGCACGGTGCTGGGCAGTGGCTGTGGCGAAAGCAGAGCAGTGGTGGCCTGGTCATTCAACTGACCCTCAGGGTTCACTCGGTTTTCTGCAGGATGGGGCTCTGCACCTGCTGGTGCGGAGAGGAGGGACGGCCACCGGCCGCGGATGGCTCCTGCGCGCTTCAGTGTTCCCGGGGGCCGGAGCCCAGCCTGACGGCCTTGGGGACTCTGGGACTCGGTGCCCGTTGCCTGACAGCAGCTGTGGCCGCGGGCCCAAGGGGCGTGCGTGTCTGCGTGCTGGACACCCTCGCGGCTGTCGGCTGCCCCGGGTGAGAGGCTGCAGGTCTCCCCGCCCTGGGAGTGAGGCTGAGCGGGTGGGCCGGGGCCGGCAGGGGTTGCTCTGGGGCCGGGGGCCTGACGGGGTCTCAGCGGCTGAGGGACCTGTGAAGGCACTGCCATGTACCTGTCTGCCCGCCCCACACACCCCTGTCTGCCCACCCCCCACACCCCTGTCTGCCCGCCCCACACACCCGTCTGCTCGCCCACCCGCACCCCTGTCTGTTCGCCACCTGCACCCCTGTCTGCCCGCCCCCCGCACCCGTCTGCTCGCCCACCCGCACCCCTGTCTGTTCGCCACCCGCACCCCTGTCTGCCCGCCCCCCGCACCCGTCTGCTCGCCCACCCGCACCCCTGTCTGTTCGCCACCCGCACCCCTGTCTGCCCACCCCCCGCACCCGTCTGCTCGCCCACCCGCACCCCTGTCTGTTCGCCACCCGCACCCCTGTCTGCCCACCCCCTGCACCCCTGTCTGCCCACCCCCCGCACCCCTGTCTGCCCACCCCCCGCACCAGTCTGCTCGCCCACCCGCACCCCTGTCTGTTCGCCACCCGCACCCCTGTCTGCCCGCCCCCCGCACCCGTCTGCTCGCCCCCCCACCCCTGTCTGCCCGCCCCCCGCACCCGTCTGCTCGCCCACCCGCACCCCTGTCTGTTCGCCACCCGCACCCCTGTCTGCCCACCCCCCGCACCCGTCTGCTCGCCCACCCGCACCCCTGTCTGTTCGCCACCCACACCCCTGTCTGCCCACCCCCTGCACCCCTGTCTGCCCACCCCCCGCACCCCTGTCTGCCCACCCCCCGCACCAGTCTGCTCGCCCACCCGCACCCCTGTCTGTTCGCCACCCGCACCCCTGTCTGCCCGCCCCCCGCACCCGTCTGCTCGCCCCCCCACCCCTGTCTGCCCGCCCCCTGCACCCCTGTTTGCTCATCCCCTGCACCCCTGTCTGCCCGTCCCCCGCACCCGTCTTCTCGCCCCCTCACCCCTGTCTGCCCGCCCCCTGCACCCCTGTTTGCTCGTCCCCCGCACCCCTGTCTGCCCGTCCTCCGCACCCCTGTCTGCTTGTCCCCCCGCACCGTCTGCTCACCCCCCCCCCCGTGCCCATCTGCCCGCCCCTGCTTCTGTCTGTCAGCTCGTATTCGGGGAGGCCTGTGCCGTGTCCACTTCCTGGCCTTGCTTCCCGTACCTGGACACGGGGCCACCCCCGTCTCTGGCTCGTCCTTGCTCATCCCTCTGTGGGCCCTTCCCGGCCCCCGACCTCCAGTGGCATGCGGCCTGTCCCGGCCCGTCCCCGTCCTCTGGCTTCTCCAGTCTTTATTTGGGGTGAGATTTCCTGTTTTCCTAAAATACTCGCACTCCAGCCTTTTCGCTGGAGCCTGGCAGTCTCTGCCAATGTTAATTAAATGTTAATTAACCCTCACACTTGGAGAGCCCGTTGGACAGGGTTCACACCCGAGCTAATTTCCTCTCATTACCTAGGAACACTGTTGCCCTGCGCAGCAGCAGTGGGAGCCGTCGTGCCCGGCGGCAGATCTTCCTTGCTGGGCGCTGGGCCCCGCGCTCCGTCCCCCTGACTCCACCCGGCCCAGATCCTGCTGCTCCCGGGGCTTCCCCGCCAACCCTCCCTGCCGCAGTCTCCCCTGTGGCCCTCGGGGCACCCACGGCCCATGTCTGTCCCAGCGTGAGTTTTCTCTGCGTGGCTGTCACTCGGGCTGCGTCTCTGCACCCCGTGGCCTGTCTCGTGGACAGTCGCTGTCCCTGCCTGAGTGCGGCTGACCCTCTGCGCTCGAGCAGCGTGGGTGGGGCAGGCACCCCCTGTGGCCGCTCAGCGTGAAAGCCAGACGCAGCCCTCCCACTGGCCAGGACCCGCCTCGCACCCAGACTCACCTGGACGCGCTCCTCGCGCGTTGGCTGCTCCGTTGGGACGTTTGGGGCCCCGCCCTCCCCGCCCCACCCCTCCCTGCCAGGCCTCGCGGACACAAATGTCTCCTCGTGGCCTGAGCAAACCCTGCCTGGAATGTGGCTCTCCCGGGGCCCCCTGCTGCCTGCTGGGCACCCCCGGGGCAGGTGTCCGTCCCCACCCTTCACCCTTCACCCTTCGGGGGCATCGTGCACCTGTGTGCTGGGGGTCTATGCCCTGGGCACTGGAGTCTGCAGGGAAGGGGGGTGGGGGCAGGGGGAGCGGCAGGAGCAGGGGCACACCCCGCCTCCACAGGGACCCGCAGAACCACCCCAAGCGTGTAGGAGCATGGGGGGGACACGCGTGCATCGAGCGTGTAGGAGTGTGTGGGGGGACACCCGTTCACCAAACATGTAGGAGCATAGGGGGACATGCATGTACCTGAGCATGTAGGAGTGGGGGGGGGACATGCGTGTACCCGAGCATGTAGGAGCGTGGGGGGACACGCGTGCACCAAGTGTGTAGGAGCGTGGGAGGACACGCGTGTACCTGAGCACGTAGGAGCATGTGATGGACACGCATGCACCCGAGTATGTAGGAGCATGTGGGGGACACACATGTACCCAAGCGTGTAGGAGCATGGGGGGGACACGTGTGTACCCGAGCGTGTAGGAGCATGGGGGGACACGCATGTACCCGAGCGTGTAGGAGTGTGGGGGACACGCATGCACCGAGCGTGTAAGTGCGTGTGGGGGGGTGGGACACGGGTCGTGGCAGGTGAGGACCCTCATGCGCAGGGCAGCGCAGTGGCAGTGGGCACTGTGTAAGGGCAGCAGGGGCCTGGGCTCCGGCTCACCTGGTGGCCACCAACCCGTTTCCCCCCAGGAACCCCCTCAGCTGCCCCTCCCCTTGGTGGGCTGGGGCCCTGTGGTAGGGGCCGGCTGCTGGGCCTTCCCCTCCGCTCCCGTAAGACTGGCGGGCGCCGGCTGGTCTCGGGGATCACAGACGGAACCTTCCAGCACACGCGTGCCCGCCTCGGAGAACTTCCCAGAAGCGTGCGGGGCGCCAGCCTCTCCCGGCGGGAGCAGGAGGCAGCTCCGTCTGGGGCTCCCGGGGTCCTCGTCTCCCAGAGAGCCCCACGGAATGAGCCGCAGGGCACTGGCCACCAGGCCATGTGGAGCCCAGCTCGGCTCTGCCCTGCCCTGCCCTGCCCTGCCCTGCTCTGCTTGTCTCTT